TGCAGGACTGCTGTCGGCTTCCTGCTGACATACTGACATTTACTCTAACTGATCTGCGAGCCTTGTAGCCCGTCAGCATGCTTCATCCCACCCTCGCTCTTCAAAGCCTGCTGCTCACCAGCCAAACGTTAGCTGCCTTCCATTATTATTATTATTATTATTATTAGTAGTAGTAGTAGTAGTAGTAACAGCAGCAGCAGTAGCAGTACAAGTTTAGTATTAATATTTTATTAAATATTATAGTATATAATAGTTAGTATTCATTTATTAATAGTAATGCTTAATTTAACATTATTATTATTATTATTTTGATATTTAATAAATATGCATTTATCAACAAATATCATATTTAAACTGTTTAGAAATTCATGGTTGATGTATCATGGTTGCAAAAATAAATTAGAAATAAAATGAAATAAAAGAACAAAATAAATAAATTAGAAACAACAATTTATAGGCAAGGTTAGGCACTTCATGTCACTGACCATTGCTAAAAGACAAAATAAATTAATGAATTTAAATATTTTATTTTAATTAACTTAATAATAATATTCTTATTAATGTAAATTAGTAATGTAACTGATTACTAATATGCACATTTATTCTTATTAATATTAGCATTATTATTAGTAGTAATATTATAATAATATTATTATTATATATTATATAATAATATTTTCAAGTGAGTGTCTGTATAATGCCCCTTAAATTAACTGTAGTGATGTCTAAAATTCTTTCTTCTATATTTTAGAAAGCAATTTGGTCTGGTGTGAAAAGCAGGGTCAAAAAAACAAAATGGAAATGACAGGGCAGTATAAGAGGTTATCAAAATCTGTTTCCCCTCACTTTTTAACACAGAATGGCTTTTATTTTACCAAAACTCTCTCTGGTGATGTCTGAACTTCTTCAGTTTATGTTCTAGAAAGCATATTTCTCTGATGGCAAACAACAGGGTCACCAAATCTGACGAGGCTCAAAAGTTGTAGGAAGGGGCCAAGTTAGTATAACGTGATAGAAGAAAAACCACCTAGAATCTCCATGATGCTTCTCAGTAACCATAATGCCCTGTTCTTCAGTGGGCTACAAATAATGACAAGTGGTTGATAACCCATCCAGAACTGCGGCGCATTGGGTAAGCATTAATGGACGTGTGGTTGTGGTTCAAGCTGAGAGAACATGAAACATCTGGCCGTAACTGCTCAAACTCTCTAGAGCATGCCAGAAGGTTTAAGTTTATTTCCCTTACTTCCTCAAATGTGTTATAGATTGTGGAACATCTGTCTGGCACTTACTGTGTGGTTTCAAATGATCTCGTCTGCAGGTTTTGTCGGAAGAAGAGAAGGGCTCCACAGCAGGAGAAGAAGATGAGGAATGGGAGAAGGCCTTGTCTGTGGAGAGGTTTGGGGACATCATCACTGAGTCTGCCATCAATGGAGCAGACAAAATGGGCCGCAGCTACAATGAGAAAGACTTTGAGTGTAAATACTGTCTGATGCGTAACTCATCACAATTATATGTGACCCTGGACCACAAAACCAGTCATACGGGTCAAAGGGTCCATTCTGAAAGCTGAATAAATAAGCTTTTCATTGATGTATGGTTTGTTAGGATAGGACAATATTTGGCTGAGATACCACAATTCGAAAATCTGGAATCTGAGGGTGCAAAAAAAATCAAAATATTGAGAAAATCACCTTTAAAGTTGTCCAAATGAAGTTCTTAGCAATGCATATTACTAATCAAAAATTAAGTTTTGATATATTTACAGTAGGAAATTTACAAAACAACTTCATGGAACATGATCTTTAAATCCTAATGATTTTTGGCATAAAAGAAAAATCGATAATTTTGACCCATACAGTGTATTTTTGGCTATTGCTAGAAATATACCTGTGCTACTTATGACTGGTTTTGTGGTCCAAGATCACATATGTGCACTCAATTTTCAATAATTCCTGAGTGGATAATCTTAATGTCATGTTGGTTAGAAAAGTTTTGACATCTGTTTAGTTTAGTGTTCAAGTTTAGTGGTCATTTGAGACAGATTTTGATTAATAATAGTAATATTAATAATAATATTGATTATAATTATTGCAACTATTATTTATATTGATATCAGTATTTTATTAATATTTATTAAAATTATTATTATTAATAATAATAATAAAATAATTGTGTAATTCTAATTGCTATTAATATTAATTTTAGTTAGTTAATATCAACGTTATTGTAGAAGCAGCATAATACTAATAATAATAATAATAAATGTTAATACATTTTTATTCTTATTATCGGTTTTAGTTTTTATTTCTTTCATTTAAATTAACATTATTAATAATAATAGTAATAATATAAATTATTAATGTAGATTATTATTATTATGCATATTTTATTCTTTTTAATAATAATAATAATAATGGTCAGAAAAGGCAACTAACTGAAATAGATAAGTTTAGGTTAAAGTACTAAAATTACTGAAATGAAAACTGGTTAAAAAATTTAAGGTAAATACAAATGTTATTTTAGTTATTTATTTAAGTGTTATTTTAGTATTATAATATATAATACTAAAATAACACTTTGCCACCAACATTTCAAGTATTTTGCTGGTCCTTTTTTTCCTATAAGATGGTTGTTTTTCACCCATGAATTTGGCAAAGTTGACTTGTTTTGGAATAATTGATTATTGACAGTACAGTAGGTGGTATAGGACACATTAGCATTCATAATTTAAATGTAATCAGTGCATTTCTGACTTCCTTCAAATCTGGTTTGATTGATCGGATCTGTTCTGCCATAAAAAACATGCAGTAGCTGCGCCAACGCTGTAACTGAGGTAAAATGGCTTCAAAGTATTTTGATTGAAATTGAATTTGTATTGATCTGATATCAATTTTCACGCTCCATTTTCTTTGAATCTGAGCATAGTTGAGCCAAACCTGTTTGTCACATGGCAGATCGCACTCTAAGAGTCCCGATCAGTTTCCACAAAATGCATGAAGCATTTTTGCACATCAGTGTTTAGAGCTGCATTTAGTGCTGACCGCTTGTGACTGGATTCCTGGAGACAAATATTAATAAATGTGTAAATTAGGTCAAAGATACAGTCATTTCAAAACATACTTCGTTAAAAGCTATTAAACTTTAAATGTTTTCAAAACATCATGTTCCATGTTCAGATGTGTAATTCTATAGAAGGTGCCTCAGAAGTACAGACAAGACTTTTAACGGCTCTCTCACATTCCCCGGCCTCCCGTGGGGCTGCGTCTGTGCCAGTCGCTTTCCGGACCCTGATAAATCAAGGCCCACATTTCCATCTACATTTGGCGACAGTAGTGGGAGGTGTAAACTAGCCTGTGATTCATTCACAGCGGAGCCGAGAGGCAGCTGCAGGACAAATCACACATTAACGTCTCCGTTGCAAGAACTACTCGTACAGTCAGCATCAAATTCACAGACTTAGACAAACTGTGTGATTTTTTTAATAATAATAATAATAATAATAATAATAAATGTTAATACATTTTTATTCTTATTATCGGTTTTAGTTTTTATTTCTTTCATTTAAATTAACATTAATAGTAATAATAGTAATAATATAAATTATTAATGTAGATTATTATTATTATGCATATTTTATTCTTTTTAATAATAATAATAATAATGGTCAGAAAAGGCAACTAACTGAAATAGATAAGTTTAGGTTAAAGTACTAAAATTACTGAAATGAAAACTGGTTAAAAAATTTAAGGTAAATACAAATGTTATTTTAGTTATTTATTTAAGTGTTATTTTAGTATTATAATATATAATACTAAAATAACACTTTGCCACCAACATTTCAAGTATTTTGCTGGTCCTTTTTTTCCTATAAGATGGTTGTTTTTCACCCATGAATTTGGCAAAGTTGACTTGTTTTGGAATAATTGATTATTGACAGTACAGTAGGTGGTATAGGACACATTAGCATTCATAATTTAAATGTAATCAGTGCATTTCTGACTTCCTTCAAATCTGGTTTGATTGATCGGATCTGTTCTGCCATAAAAAACATGCAGTAGCTGCGCCAACGCTGTAACTGAGGTAAAATGGCTTCAAAGTATTTTGATTGAAATTGAATTTGTATTGATCTGATATCAATTTTCACGCTCCATTTTCTTTGAATCTGAGCATAGTTGAGCCAAACCTGTTTGTCACATGGCAGATCGCACTCTAAGAGTCCCGATCAGTTTCCACAAAATGCATGAAGCATTTTTGCACATCAGTGTTTAGAGCTGCATTTAGTGCTGACCGCTTGTGACTGGATTCCTGGAGACAAATATTAATAAATGTGTAAATTAGGTCAAAGATACAGTCATTTCAAAACATACTTCGTTAAAAGCTATTAAACTTTAAATGTTTTCAAAACATCATGTTCCATGTTCAGATGTGTAATTCTATAGACGGTGCCTCAGAAGTACAGACAAGACTTTTAACGGCTCTCTCACATTCCCCGGCCTCCCGTGGGGCTGCGTCTGTGCCAGTCGCTTTCCGGACCCTGATAAATCAAGGCCCACATTTCCATCTACATTTGGCGACAGTAGTGGGAGGTGTAAACTAGCCTGTGATTCATTCACAGCGGAGCCGAGAGGCAGCTGCAGGACAAATCACACATTAACGTCTCCGTTGCAAGAACTACTCGTACAGTCAGCATCAAATTCACAGACTTAGACAAACTGTGTGATTTTTTTATTATTATCATTATTTTTGTGGCCAGAATTGCACCAAATGGAATTAATTTTTAGAATATTTGCACAGTCTTGGTCGACAAACAGATGTACTTCTACACCACCGTTAAACGTTTTTTTTTTTTTAATGGTTTTGAAAGAAGTCTTTTATGTTCACCCAGGCTGCATTAATTTGATCAAAAATGCAGTAAAAAAAGGTAATATTGTGAAATATTATTACAATTTGAAATAACTATTTTCTATTTTAATATATTTTAAAATGTAATTAATTTCTGTGACACGCCCACTATTCATGAGGTGGATGAGGAGGAGGCGGAGTCTGAGACTGAGGGACAGTGCCAAGCAGCCACGCCTACTGAACCATCTGAAGAGCTGCCACAGGTAACTTGAAGTGTTTACCATATTACTAATTTTGCAGAATGCATTATGTATAAGTGACTTTTTAGTACTGATTTCCCTGAATGACTTACTGCTGCATGGTATATTGTATCCCATGATGCAGTGCACTTGACTATACCTTCCATTTCAAGTGTGAAATAATAATTATGGAAATAATATTGAATGCAGGTTTTAATTTTATATCTCGTTCTTGACTCTTGTGATTGGACTCTCAAGTTAAGACATTATTGTAGAGTTGCAACTAACAATTTTGATAATCAATTAATCCGATTATTTCCTGATTCAAATATATATATATATATTTTAATTAAAATAACTTAATTTTAATCTTTTATTTACAAAATAGTTATTCCACATCCTGCCCAGTGTTGTCCTCCAAAAAAATAGCAATTTAAAAGCAATGAAAACAAATATTGTGAATTTATCTATGTAGAGTTTGTGCAATTCAACATTATGTGAAAAAGGGTTCACATTTAAATTGATTACTATTTGAAAGTAGTTAAACTTAAAATCATTAAATTAAAAATTATAAAGCCATTACAATAGTCCATTTGCTATTACTGCTTTCATAAAAAAATACTATTACTTGTTATTACTTGTATCTAGAAATTTGAACCTACATAATGGCTAACAAGGAATATTTTAGATGAAAAATTTAGATTAATATTTTAGAAAAATGTTTGTTTTAGTCAGAATAATTCTACTACCTAAGTGCAATAGAATGCAAAGATAACCACTAACAATTAGCACTTACTAAATTAAGCATGCAACATATTATAATGCGGCTGTGTGACAATAGTGTAGAATACTATTGCTTGAAGTGTTTCTCATTGCATTTGAATTCACATGCTATTAAAAATAGTATGCTGTATACAGTAGGGTTTCTTTCTGCACTACTAGATATGTTGGGATAACTGTGTGAGAGATGGGATGGGATAATGGAGAGATGCTGACAGGTGTTGTGATCTCACAGCTCAGTTTGGGAAGTGAAGAGGATCTGGCGGCCGATCTCCCTCTCACCAGCTTCCATATGGAGAGCGAGAGACCCCCGAGCAGTGAGGAGACCCCACCCAGCCCCGCCGAAATGGAGGAGCTGGAGGAAACACAAGAACGACCGGATGGAGGAGAGGAGGAGGAGGTTTCCAACAGGTATTTGACTATTTATTTAAAATAACCTTGAAGTGCTAAAAACACTTATGCATGTTAAATGGGTTGATCGAAGAATACATTATAATTCCATCATTATTTACTCACCATCATATCGTTCCGAACAACATTTTGTGAAGATATTGAAAAGATATTTTTACTTGCAATCATATTTCTTCAATCTGGATCAGATATAATAATTATAAGCAAGCTAATACGTATGTTTTTTTTAGATCTTGCATAACACACACACACACACACACACACACACAAAACATAAAATACAAAAAGTGCTTTTTTCCATTTGTGAACTGTCACCATTGGCGTTTAATGCAACAAAGATAGCTAAATTCAATTAATTTTACTAATAGACCTATCAGTCCTACTAATAATAAGAGGGGGAAGTCGTGGCCTAATGGTTAGAGAGTCGGACTCATAACCCAAAAGGTTGTGGGTTCGAGTCTCGTACCGGCAGGGATTGTAGGTGGGGGGAATGAATGTACAGCGCTCTCTCCCACCTTCAATACCACGACTGAGGTGCCCTTGAGCAAGGCACCGATCCCCCAACTGCTCCCCGGGCGCCGCAGCATAAATGGCTGCCCACTGCTCCGGGTGTGTGTTCACTACTGTGTGTGTGCACTTTGGATGGGATAAATGCAGAGCACTAATTCCGAGTATGGGTCACCATACTTGGCCGCATGTCACGTCACTTTTTTTTTTATTTCCCCTCTTTTAATTTGGCTCCAAATCTCAGGTGAAAACTGTCAGTTTGACCTCCCTCTGTAAAATAGTGCATTCCTCAGTAAATATTCATCCATGACATTGAAAAAAAAAAAGAAAAAATTGGAATGAACCGGAAAAGTTGTATTTGATTGCCCTCTGCTGGCTAACTGGCTTCTTGCAACATATATAAATTATGCACAATTGGTTAAGGTTAATGTACAAATAAACCATCATTAGACATGTATTTATAGCATGGCCTGCGTTATTTAACTTTAATTGTTGCTTTGAATTATGGGCCCCCCCTATTTGTCTGGGTCTCTGACATTAAATTAATGCAAATGCACCAACATGATGTGCAGTGGTTTAGTGAGTTTAATCTCACATAATATTTGTTTATTATTTATTAATTTCTTACGGTGTATAATTTCAACTCTGTATGAACTGAATAGCAATTATCTGCAGATGAAATTTAGCTATGCAGCTAATTAATTGTAAATACACTATTAAATGAAATAAATATAAAGTAATTGGGACCATGGCGAGCATTAAGCTGAATTTATGATGCATCTTAAGCTTAGTTTGAAAAATGTATAGTTGAGAAGATGCAGCTAGTTTAATAAATTATTATAAGTTCTTTTTAAAAGTTGTAAATAAAGTCCTTTGGAGTATGTTTTACAAGAAAACACTTTTTCAGTCCTTCTACATAAAAATTTCAAGTTTAATTTAATATTCAATAATAATTTAATAGCAACTTCTAAGTGAAAATTGTTTTACCGCCAACCTTTTTTGAGTGTATTTGTCCATTAAGTCAAAAGTTAGTTTTAAGAAATTACAAATATAAACACAACATTTCCATTTTTTTTTTTGTCCTTTTCAGCATTTCTGAGAAATGGTTAAGCCAGCCACCTAGAATCATGTTCATCTTTCTCTCGATTAGCAATGCAGTTCTGTTAATGCCATCAGACTAATAACAATGAACATAAAATTTGTTAAAAGCATAGTTTTTAAGGCAATACTCAATTGTAGGTTTCTTTTTACAGGTTTAGCCCATCTCCAGAACCTGCCAGTATGGCAACGCGAGGCTGGTTTCGCAGGAAGCCCGTCCACCGGCTGGCTGGAGCCCAGCGGACCAGCTATGACCTACGAGAACGCATCTGTATAGGCAGCATGACAGCCATAGAGACTGCGGTGTACCAGAAAGTACCTACAGACGAGGCGGAGGCTCAGATGCTAGCCAGCGCTGATCTGGATGACATGAAAAGTAAGCAAAGTAAATTCTGGAAGGGATGTAAAAAAAAAAACAGGACACTAATATTCACTGATATTTGAGATATGAGACAAAAACATCTCCTCAGTTTTACCTGCTTTTCCTTTTGACATTTTTTATATCAGATATGATCACTGGAATATTCCTATGCACAATTTCATATTTCTTCATATTTTATTTTATCAAAATTAAATTACTAATAAATATCTAAAAATTCCTAAAATCCGATACATTTACTTGAATAGCAACACTGCATGCAATTTAAGACTTGTTATTAAAGAGTATAATTTTAATACAGCTGTAATTTTTCTCACTGCACTGGGACATTTTTTTTTAAGTGTAAAGTAATATATAATATACACATACATATATAATGTATACACAGACACACACACACACACACACACACACACACATGTATATAAATATATATATATATATAGTGCCGTGAAAAGTTTTTTGCCCCCTTCCCGGTTTTTTTTTTTTTTTTTTTTTTGCGTATTTGTCACACTTAAAAGATTCAGATCGTCAAACAAATTTTTATATTACACAAAGATAATGCAAGTAAATACAAAATGCAGTGTTTAAATGATGATTTAATTTATTAAGGGAAAAAAGCTGTCCAAACCTACCTG